TGTTGGACTTTGTCCTGCACTCAGCATAGTACATTGATCCTGGCTGCATAGTATACTGATGGTTTGCTCTCCAAGTACTCTCTGTATACATATCCTACTCAATTTTGCTTTGCTCATTAGTTTTTTTTGTATTTGGATAGTGGAGATTCCCTTTGATACCATAAAATTATAAAAATTTAAAGATGATTTACAATACAAGCAAGGTATGGACATCCTTTGATTCACTTCATATGCTTCAACATATATTAACATTATGAAGGATGGAAACTGTTTCATAATCAGACAAAATAAAGACATTACTTATCTCTTTCAGATCGGCTTTATAACTGAACCCTTCATGTAGGCTTGCTGTTTACTGTATTTGAAATTTTGGAAGAGTGACCTGGAAATCAGACTATTCCTTCATATTGAGGGACCCTTGATCCTTGAAATTTTTTTCCCTTTAATTCTAATGTAAATAAATTGTGCAGAAGACAAGATAAGTTAATGTTTTTAAAGAAGTTATGAATTTTATGGCTAAAATATGCCCTGTTAAAAATCTAAAATGAACTAAATACGGCTTATTTAATTAGAAAACTCAAATTCAATTGCTTTTTGCACATTTCCACAAAATTAGTATTGAAATGAAGTTGTGAAGGGTTAGCTGCAATTCTGAAAAAGGTCAACACTAAAATGTGCACTTTAACAACTCAATTAATTTGACTAATTTGGATGAAATACTATACCGACTAACTTAAATTAGCAATTGTTTCATGAAATAGACCAAAAGGTCATTTACTAGGTGACATTGTGACATTTTCACTTGTATTGTGCTTCCCTTTTGTGAAATCTGAAAAAAACTTTCAATAGATTCAATTATAGAGGATGAATTACCACTATAATGCAATGAATACACACAGAGCATATTCAATGTAAGATAATTTACAGTCTTTAATCATAAGATTTTTTTTTTAAAGTTGGTTAGTCAATCCAAGTTAATTCTTGCAGATTGTTCATTGTTTACTTGCATCTACTATACCAAAATATTTCTTCACAATTAGTAAGATTATCATCAGTATACTACCCCTGATATAATGTTGTTAAACACCACAATTTTATGCTGCATTTTAATCAGTTTGTATAATATGAGTATAAATACCAAGGGAATTTACTCAGTGTATTGAAAGCAACTGAACATGGACATAAAACACATAAACTTTCTAATAAGAATATTGTTTCAGTAGAGAACATTACCAAGTAACATATAAAGCTCATTTTAAGTTATTAATAATATTACTACTATTCCCATTGGGGTAAAGAATTTGAAAAATATAATTTCACCTATATAAAAAATTAAAAATTTTTGTTTGCCAATGCAAATTTATATAATTTATCAACACTTCTCACAGTCTGTGACTGATCTACCAATATATTACTTTATCTTTCATAGTTTTATTAAAAATTCCCTTTTGAAAGAAGCAAAGAATATGTATGCAGATCTTCATTCGTGATTAAAATTGGTGGTGTCAGGTCATATTCTCCTAAGGTTTCACAAGCCATAGGAAAGAGAAAGGTGGGAGCTACCTGTTGCTGGGTACCTTCTATGTGCTTCTTCATTTGTCTTCTTTAATTAAACGTAAAATCCAACAAAATGTCTGTTTTTTGTTACTTTAATGTTACTTTATTTTATAACAGGGATTAAAATTTAGTCCAGCCATATGTTAGAAATGTTCAGCTATCAGTCAGGAATAATTGGCTTATGATCTTTCAACTTAGCTGTAAGTTGTTGTTGTTTTTTAAGGCTGAAACTGTAATTTAACAAAAAACAAACAAAAATCACACACACATACCAAAACATCCTCTGTGTTTTTGAAAAACACACTAGTAGGGCTCCTTGCTCAAAATATTGGAGAACAGCAAACACATCAAAGCGATGAAACAGTTTTTCAGAGGTGTGAAAAAAATGCCTCTTATTTACTGTTGCCTGTGGACTTAACACATTTTTGCCATGTTTATAAAGAAATAGCATAATGATTTCATGATAAACAATAGCTCATGGAAGCTACTAATCAGGTAGGTAAGATCACTTATGAAAAGTGATACAAGAACACTTGCTTAAGAAGCATCTGATAGTTTGCCCTTATAGAAGCACTGGAAACAACAACAGAGTAATAAGAGGAATAAAATGTTAAAGTGATATTTGAATACACAAGAATTCCTTAAAAATATTTTGGGGTTTTCTTTAGAACAATTGTATTTCCACATTATCTATTGAATAAATTTTGGGAACACCTATAAACTGAAATAAAACTCATCATCAGAGGGTTATATATAGCTGGTATATAAAGGAAAGTTCTTAAACAATCAATAAGCAGAAGATTGATAGTGAAGGAGAGAAATTTAAATGAGAGACATGGTTTCTCTTCAGAAGAGCTATTACCCAGAATTGATGCAGCTTAGGTTAAAAACAGAACTAAACTTCATAAATTCAGAAGCCTCAAATGAGGATAAAAAATTGACTCTATATAAACAATTTAAAAACAAACTCATCCTGTCCAATATCTATAAAAATGTTAATCTTATTTTCAACAAAGACACTAACAGCCATGGCAATATATAGTTGAACAGATTTTATTCTTCTGATGAGAAAATACTAAAAATAGTAATAATTCTTGAGCATTTTCTTGATGTGAAAAAAGAAAAAAAAATAAGTATAAGTAAAGATGTCAATTTACCCTGCCTTCAAGATTCTGAATATGTTTTCACACAGCAAAAAATGGACATGTACTGTAAGAGCTGGGCCTTGAGTTGACAGAAAAATTTGTCACCAACAGAATAAATCAATGTCAGCATGCAAGTGACTTTAAGAAGACAGTTGAAAAGACATCCTAAAAAAATGTGACGGATGGAGGTTTGCATTGAAGAGTACACCCTGATTCATGTAAAAAATATTTGTTTAGTTTTATCTTTCTAAAGAAATGTGCCATTGACAACTCCTTCATATGGATATTTCTAGAGCCTACCAGCCTGAGTTAGTTATAGTGTAAAATATTTTGGAATATTCCACATGGCATTATGACTCAAAAACGATATTTAAACTGAGCCGAAACCAGTTTGGCTCAGTGGATAGAGTGTCGGCCTGTGGACTGAAAGGTCCCAGGTTCGATTCCGGTCAAGGGCATGTACCTGGGTTGTGGGCACATCCCCAGTAGGAGGTGTGCAGGAGGCAGCTGATTGATGTTTCTCTCTCATCGATGTTTCTAACTCTCTATCTCTCTCCCTTCCTCTTTGTAAAAAATCAATAAAATATAAAAAAATAAATAAACTGAGGCATGACTGGAATATTTCCAATTTAAAAAATATTATACGGCAACAAAGAGCAAGTTTAACTTTACCATTCAATTCTAACAAATCGGGGAAAAAATGTTTCCATGGATTCCTCAAATTAAGAACTTAAAAATTCATAAAAGTTATGTACTATAATAATTTAGTTCCTGTATTATGAAGGTCAGATCTTTAGTATGAGCTTTTAGTTTCTTTTTAAATATTATTTTTGAAATTTGAGGATATTAGCAGTTGGCCTCTTAAATTGTGGATCACAATTCTATAATGTATATGTCCAAATCAATAAATTCAATTGTATTTTGAACTATTCATTTATCCATTCATACATTCAACACATATTTATTGAATGCCTACCATGTGTCAGGTATTGTGACAGGTATTTAGTTAGGGACTGAACAACAAGTTGATAAAGTGAAAAAGACAGATGTGGTCCCATCCCTCCTAGAGCAAACAATGAAGCATGAAAACACAATTTCAATAATAGTGTGATAATGCTCTGAGATGATTATAGATGACCCAGTAGTGTACAGGAGAGAACTTAAGCCAAATCTGGTGTGGGATGGAGTTGGCTTGCTTTGAATGCACCAGAGGAATGTATACCCACATGGTAGCTGAAGGATTATACCAATAAAAGGCTTGGGGTTCTCTGGGCAGAGGTGTTCTTTCCCCATTGTTTTCCTCTAGGAAGAGGACATTTATAAAGGAATGGAAAGACAGTGATAGTGTTTGGTCTGAAAAACTGAAGCAAATTTAGAAAAACTAAAAAGGTAATAGGGAATAGGGCCAAATCATGCACTTTTAGGTTATATTAAAGAACCCGACTTTATCCTGAGGTAATAGAAAGAAATTGAAAAGTTTTCAAAAGAGAGTAAGAAAATCACCTTTGTATTTTGGGAAAAATCATACTTATTATAATTTGGGAAACAGCTTTTTAAAGAGTAGGAACAGAAATTGGAAAGCTGCAAAAACCCAGGGTGAAAGAGGGTGGTAGCCTAGAGCATGAGAGTGGCAGTGGGCTGGTGAGAAGTGGAGTAATTTGAGAGTAGTTGAAATAACCAATACTTATTAACTTGTTAATGTGAGTGTGTGAGGTTGGAGAACCTGAAAGAAAAAAGGGCATGTTTCTAACTGTGAGAATAAGGGAAAACAAGGCCAAGTGAAGAAAAGACCGTCTCTGCTTTCCTTCTATAACCTAGCTCTCATCATCATGAGATGTAATCAAATTGCTCCATTGCTAAGCAACCACAGGGATAGAGCTAATAAGTCATGATTCATGATTCTATGGGAACAATCCACGGGTCAGTGGCTTGATGTCAAGGTGGTTTAGATTCCTGCTGTGACACTTTCAAACCAATATTGACTCCTAGCGTGAGGATAGATGAGAGTTAAAATGCAAATACTCTCGTAATCTATCCAATTGATCTATAATCGTGTGATCTGGTATAGCCTGCTGCATCCATCTGACAGTAGCATCTGTACATCAACATTGGAAGAAAAATAGCACACAGACATAGCTTCATAGGAATTTTTTCTTTTTTTTACCAATATAGTTAAGCCAAAGAGAGAGGCACATTTAAATTAGTATGAAGGTAATCACTCCAACAATCATCTAACCAACAGAAAATCTTTTAAAAGAAGAGGTGCAGTGGGTGGCAAAAGTTTTTGAAAACTGTTACCTGTAACCACTGTGACTGGTCATTGTGGCCGGAGGTCCAGGCATTCACTTTGCCCTGCTTGTCCAGCCGAGCTTTCCTTGGCTCCCAAGTGAACATGTCCATATTGAGAGTTCTGAAGATGCTGGAGGCAGTGATCTGATAGTCCTGTATATGCCCCGATTTCATCCCCAGAGGCTCAGAACAGCCTGAAAGAGATGAGAAGGGCTCCGTGAGAAAAAGAATTTATCACCCTGCAAGTTTTATGTCTTCATTTTAGAGAGGCAAGAGCAGATTAAGCCTAATGCTATTCATTCCCCCAAAGAGAGAGCATCTAAATTCAAAAAAGGTTATAATCAGAAATAAATCTGGAACAAAATCGAAAAACAAAATAGCCAATTCAGGTTATTTTGTCTGAATATATTTTGGAAAAATTGAAAACAAGACAGAATTCAAATTACTTTTCTGCGATAGATGATTCTGCAAAATGAAAACAATGCTCCCCTGTCTCATTAATGATAGCCTCATGACTGTTCCCGAGCTTTCAACAGTTTCATTGCGCCTTTAAAAATGGAACATTTTCTCACAAAGTATATTTGGTTTTCTTTTATTTGCTTCCATAATACTGCAAATGAAAATTCCCTCAGTACGAAGTCATTTTCACAAACTGCTCCAATGGTGTATTTTGAACTGGACAGCATTTTCTTTTCCAAGAAATGTTTGCTAATCTTTATCACATATTCTTATAGCACCAACATGACTTCTTCTGGAAGGTGAGAAGCTAATATTTATTCAAAGTACACCATGTGCCTGGCATTGTACAAGTATAGGATTTAAACAAATACATAACAGAAGAAAGTAATTCTAGCAAAAGCCATTATGGGATGAGTCTTTTATACATTCTTATATTTTGATCATACTCAATAGCTTCTGGTATTGGGTAAATTTGGAAGATTCTCAAATTTGCCACACATGGTTTCAGGTTTGACATGGTGCAAATTGTGGGTTTGTCTGTCCTTAAAATATGTGTGTGTGTGTATGTGCATATGTGTGTGTGTATGCACATGAACTTCCAATCTTGAATTATAATTGTGACAAAATTCCATCCATAAAGCCATCCATAGGAAGCATGATTCTGTTATCATATTATGCAGTTGTTGAGGCTTCCACAAAGTAAGTTTTATTATCAAGAAATCCAAAATAAGACTGGCCTGTGTTGCTCAATGGTTGAGTGTCAACCTATGAACCAGGAGGTCACGGTTCGATTCCAGGTTGGGGCACATGGCAGGGTTTGGGGTTTGATTTTCAGAGGGGGGTGTGCAGGAGGCAGCCAATTAATGATTCTCTCTCATCATTGATGTATCTATTTCTCTCTCTGTCTTCCTTCTTCTCTGATATATCTATATATCTCTATCTCTATCTGTGTCTGTATCTATATCTATCTATATCTATCTATATCTATCTATATGACCTAGATCTATAAAGCTGTTAAAAGAAATCCAAGATAAAAGGGAGACTCCTCCAATCAATGCCATTTCCTCATACTCTATTGGTCCCTCACAATCTGTGTACTTATACCCATTATTTAACTACATTGTGCCTCAGTTTTCTCATCTCTAAGATAATGATAAGAAACCACCTTAAAGAAGTGTTTTAAGAAATTAGCTAATAAATTTAAAGTATTTAGAAACAGTGCCAGCATATAGCTAACATTAAGTAAATGTTAGCTCTTTTTATTATTTCCATAAAGCTCATTTCAACAGATAACAATGTTAAGACCTCAAATCAGCATATCAGGGGGTACTAAATAGCTTATGACTGGCTGGAGTTTTAGAAACTTAGTTTCTAAAACTAAACCATTTGAAGTCAAGGCCCTAAGAGAAGTGGCTTAGAACTCTTCAATGATAAATAGTTCTTAACTACAATGAATTGCTTTCTGTCTTAGTCCATGTAGATACTTCTTCCTTCTTGAGGCTCCTCCATGTCTTCCTTCAACTCCACCTTCTAGGAAATGCCTATCCTATGCAAACATTGCCAAAACGGTGATGGAGGGTTAGCCAATTATGTTTTAGTACAAGTTTTGTTGGGTTTTAGGGATCAGAGACATACACTCTTAAGTCCCATGATAAAAATAACTAGAACTTCTAAATATAAATTCTGGAGGAGAAAAGTTTTATGACCAAATCTCAAGGATTGTAGAAAGTTCTAAAGTCTTAATGACATGTCATTTATCTTCAGGCAGTTCTATGGTAACATGCTTTATCTAAATTACAGATTTCTGACTTGTTCTTCTATTGTTCTCATCAAGTCCTCACCCCCACCCTGCCCTGCTACTGGAGCTTTTGTAAAACCGATGGACTTGCAGAAGAGATACAAGGGAAAAAGGAAAGGTTGTTGGTTTCTTCCTTTTGTGACATAACAGAGTATTTCAAATATTGCCTAGAAAAGGGATACCTTTACTTTCACCATTTCCACGCTGTCATTGAATTCATTTCATACCCATCCACTGTCTAGTACTTAGCCCAGAGGAAGTTCTGAATAATTTGTTCAAAGAATGAATGAATGACTATTCCTCCTCTAATTACGGTCATGATCCATTTCAATCTAAACATCTTAAATCATATCTCTCTCAGAGAATTTAGGGGTTTTCTTTTTAAGTATCTGGTAAAAGATTAGCTGCTGATCTTCTAGGAAGGCTGAGAGATCTTATAACAGTTTATTGAATACAATAAGGCAGCCTTGGGCTTTATAGTGTTGCACTGGATTGTGGGAAATAATTCCACACATTATATTACTGTTTATTTCCAAATGTAACAGCTAACCTCTTCCAATTTGCCTTACAAATTTTCCTTCTCATCCATATGATTTGATAAGTATAAATGATTTTACCATCATGGAAAGCACCTGTACAAAATGAAATATTAACAATGAAATTGATTATTTTACAGCTTTTAAAAGTATCCATCAAGTGATATTATTCTCTGCATGCAAGTTCAAATCAATGTGTGGGTGTGGGAGATGGGTATGGCTTCTTTCTGAGAACATAAAAATCTGTAAAGTGTCAGGTGTAACCTCAAGTCAAACTTGAAAGTAAAATATATTTACCCCTTAGGGGTATAACTGTGCCATGTATGAGAGACTGACCCTCACAAATCAAATGGCTGAAAAGTCTGGGAAGGTGATGTAAAGCAACGAAAAACCACGGGGGCTTGTAGCAAACCTCATCATCTGTGGCTTCTTCTTGATTGCTTTATGATGGATGAGATAGGGTTGACACCGGCCTGTGGTGATATAGTGACATGCAATAAAAACACTGTACAACAATCCTGCTCAGATTTACTGGTAGTCAGTAAGCAGGTTTGAATTAAGAAAATAAGGAAAACATCCCTGTTAGGGTAATTAATAGTACTAAAACCATATGTTGGCTGCTTCATAAAAGACACCCATATATAATATGAAATATGATTCTTAAAACAAATTCAGTCATCTAGCTAAATGTCTCTGATTCCTTTAAATATAATGGGTTCATTTAAAGTATGTTGTTGTTTTTAAAACATGTTTTTATTTATTTTAGAGAGAGAGGAAGTGAGAGGGATAGAGATAGAAACATAGAATGGAGAGAAACATCTATCTATTGGATGCCTCTTACATGCCTCCTACTGGGTCCACAACCCAGACAGATGTCCTGACCAGGAATCGAACCAGTGACCTCCTGATTCATGGGTCAATGCTCAACCACTGAGACATACTGGTGGGGTAAAAGTTTGGTTGTTTTTTAATAGTAACTTTTATTTGCTTAAAAATCATTCCTTTTCTCAACATCACAAATATACCTAAGAAGGGAAATAAATATAAAGTATATATTATAACCAATACACAACCTCTTGAAATACATAAATAGTTCCCAGTTATTCTGTTCTACGGATGTGTCCTCCTATTTTTTTTAACTTTCACCCAAGGATATAGTTATTGATTTTAGAGAGAAGAGGAAGGGGGGAGAAAATGAGAGAGAGAGAGAGAGAGAGAACGATAGAAACATCAATGTGGGAGAGAAACATAGGTCAGTTGACTGCAACCTCGGTAAATGCCCTGACTGGGAATTGAACCTGCAAGCTTTGGTGTACAGGACGATGCTTCAGCCACATGAGCCACCTGGCCAGGGCTTGTGTCCTCCCATTTTTAACTAAATAGTATCATTATACATTTGATAAAAGCCTTTCTTCTTTGAAGGTTATTCTAAAAAGTGAGGTACACATTAATTTTTTATTTTTCAAAACACAGTTGTTTGAACAAAACAATTACATTTCATGTAACTGTTGATGCTAGAATAAGAACCACCACCAAAAAGAAACACAGTGAAATGCCTAGACAAAATTGTCTGTTTAGTTCAGAATCTAGCTATATTGATATGGGATCACTGAGAGAGCTACATATCAAGTCTTCATCTTTATATTTAATACTGATGCCCCTGGAAGATAAGGATTATTTAACCTGAGTCCTTTGATGGATTATCTTTGAGTTGGATAACCACTGTTTATACAATAGGCAGGGTGGTAGGTAAGAATGATCCAAGAGTGAATTTATAGTAGCAATCTTGGTATTGAAGTATTGTCTCCTTGGGAGAAATGATAAAATGTACATGTTTCATTAAAAAAATCCCAAAAGCCAAGTTCTTACAGTAGATGGACAGAGATAAAGCTTACTTTTCTATTCCATATAGCCTAAATGTAACTGTAATTTACAAAGTCAGGCAGATTTCAGTTTTGACTGAACATTTGTCACAAAACATAAATCATAGTTAATACTAAAAACAGTAAGACATTTAAAGAAACAAAAGTTTCCAGTGAGAATTTGTTGTATTTTCATTGACTACTCAAAGAAATACAGTGCTCTTTCTACGTTAGTTGTCTTCTGTAGCATGTTTTAGATGGTTTATCTCTCTCTCTCACACACACACACACACACGAGTTTATCACTGAACCATGCCCTAGACAGGTTATAGCAGGAATGAATATCTATGGGTGTTGAAAAATTACAGGTTAGTAGTAGACTACACACCATTTTTTTTTCTTTAAAGAAAATACTAAAATAGATAATATGGGACTCACCTGATAGTTCACATCCAAGAAGTTCCATTCTCAAAGTACAGTGTCTTCGACAAACTTGGGGATAAAGTCTTACATACTGAGCTTTTATCGGGGGTGTGAAAGAGTTAGCATAGGGTGTGTTGTTATCAACATTTCCACGAAACACCTGTGTAAAGAGATGATCTAGAGTTGTAATTATTAATTGTAACAGCTCCTTTACCTGTTTTTCTGTATTGATCTTATATCCTACCCAACATAATCTTTCCAAAATTAGATTAAATAATTTGGGGGTCTGAAGCATTTAGGAAGCACCTTTCCATAAGCTGAATATATAAAACCTAGAACTAAAATACTAATTAATGTTACGAACCAATGTAGCCTATGGTATAATCTATATTGTGAGGGTATTGTCAATTTTAAGGTCAGTCCTTCAAAGCCAGGGGAATGCTTCTTTCTTTTTTTGAAAAATGGGCACTTTAAGCCTTTCAACTTAATCTAGTATGTTCATTTTACTACTTAGTAATGATATTTTGTTGTTGTTTATGAACTAGTCTTTCCTGTGCTTCCTGTTCACTCAGTCTCTCTAATGCTATGATCAGTATGATCAGACTTATGATGCTTTAGGGTCTGATTCCTAAGATTACATCTTATTGGTCAGTCCTAGATCATTGGATAAGAAACTCATAATTATATATATATATATATATATATATATATATATATAATTATGAGTTTCTTATCCAAATATATATATATATAGATAGATAGATAGATAGATATATCTATATCTATCTATCTATATATATATATATGGAAAAACTAGATTTCCTTCTAAAATTAAGGATTAAACATGTTATTTTATTTATTTATTTTTTTAAAATATATTTTATTGATTTTTTACAGAGAGGAAGGGAGAGAGATAGAGAGCTAGAAACATTGATGGGAGAGAAACATCGATCAGCCGCCTCCTGCACATCCCCCACTGGGGATGTGCCCACAGCCCAGGTACATGCCCTTGACCGGAATCGAACCCGGGACCCCTCAGTCCGCAGGCCGACGCTCTATCCACTGAGCCAAACCGGTTTCGGCTAAACATGTTATTTTAAAATTCTTTTAATCTTATTGTTATTTTACATGACCTGGTAAACAGATAAATTTATTTAAATTTATTTGAGAAGGTAATTTGAAAATTCTTTTATAATTTGTTAAGTCTAGTCTAATGACTTGTCTTTAAATGGAATGAGCTGCAGTGAAATTTAAAAAATTAATAAAAGTTCATTAAAATTGGGAATATCATAAGAAAGGCAAAGGAGACATTGAATATGTATTTTCTCTAAAATGTTTTATTCTATAGCCCTGGCTGGGTAGCTAAATTGGCTAGAGTGTCATCCCGTTATGCCAAGGTTGTGGGTTCAATATCCGGCCAGGGTGCATACAAGAATCAACCAATGAATGCATAAATAAGTGAAACAACAAATTGATGTTTCTCCTTTTTCTCTCACTCTTCCTCTCTCTCAATAAATAAAAATACATTACTAAAATATTTTGTTCTGCTAAATAAAAATTTTTCTCCCAATATGAAATATATAAATATATACATCTTTTCTATATTCGTGCTTTATTTTTCAAATAATATTTTTCTTACAGATAGCAATTTTGATCTATAGTTATTTGATTATGGAGAGTGCTAATATATTAGTCAAAGCAATACAGTGAAATTTAAAATGAACTATTATTAAAATAAAACAATTGTCATGCCAATATTGTTAACCTTCTGATAAAGTGATTATAAGATCAACAATTAAAATCAGAGAAAGTCTTAAATGGTAGTCAGTGTACATTTATAACTTGGAAAAACTCCTTATCCCTTTCACCCCACTAGTCTAATATTTATTAAAATACCATAAATTTATTTGCAACAACATAAAGCTTCTGATGAAGACCCATTATTCATTTGGTAAGCAATGATTATTAATGAAATTTGACTTTTAAATTAACTATGTTAATTCATTCTTACCACATCTTCATTGGTGCCTTTCACTTTGTACATTGTCCAAGTCTTTCCATCATTACTATAGGCAATTTTGTAGGATTTTATATATTCTGGGCTTCCAATCCTCTTGGCTCCTTGGGTAATTACACCAGTAACTCTCATTTTTCTTTGTAAATTTATCTGAGGAAACAGGAAAATCAATGGTTATCTCATTGCTTTCAGGATAACAATATTTATTCGTATATATTTAAAACAATACAAAAATATAGTAATTTCTTATAATTTTAAAAGATGAATATTAGAAGTTTAGATTCAGAATCTTTTTCGAAAACCCTTTTTTAAGCAAAGCAATATTTGTGAACAAACTTTGAAAAAGGCAATGTGCCCCCAAAATGTTAAGTATAGAAAACATTGGTTGGTTATAATATGAAGATGCGACTTAGTAAACTGAAAACGGAATATTACCTTGTCAAAATAGCCTTAGTGACATTACAATGAAACTCTAAGGTCAACATAATTGTAAATGTGTCTCAAATGCTTTAGACATCAACAAATTTCTACTTAAAATAAAACATGAAAATCTCCCTGAGATCTTTGAGTACTAGAATAAGAAAGCTAAAGGCAACAAAATTGACAAAAGCAAAAAAACAAACAGAAGTATCTTCAGTTTCTAGATTTTTATATAGTTATCTCCACTATAAGTTATAGAGGGCTTTTCATCAAATACTTGCTTTCTCTTCATTTCATCATAGGGAGACTTTCTAACTGGTATTTTCTCTTCATATTTTCTCCCCATTATAAATCGCCCAACAATAGTTTGCTGCAGGAGTAACAGTCCTGTAATAACAAATCTAATATTCTCCTGATATTTAAATAGGGGAGCTCATTTTGGCAATTATTGTATGATAATTAAATCATAAAACAAAAATATTTTCTTTGTATCTGGAAATTATTAAAAATTGTGTCATTCATTTTAAAATGCCTTTATGCTGCATGCAAAATCTTCTATGTATGTTCTAGAAAAATTGTTGTTAAGTTTCTCTCTCTACCAACAACAAATCAAAACATTTTAATGTCTTTTACTATAGTAATAATTCAGAGACCATTTTCCAGAGAAAACCAGACAATCTTCAGATTCATGTGATTAGGGTTTCTCACTTTCTAAGAAGACTCTGAGAGTTAATATTTGAAATGATAGAATGTGTATGTGAAGAAACTGCCCCTCTGTAATCAATTTTCTTTCTTCCCTCCCTCCCTCCTTTATTTTTCTTTCTTTTCTTTTTCTTTCTTCCTCTCTCTCTCTCTCTCTCTCTCTCTCTCTCTCTCTCTCTCTCTCTCTCTCTCTCTCTCTCTCTCTCTCTCTCTCCTATCTATGTATCTATTTACCTACCTATCTTTATGTCATATATTCAAAAAGTTGAAAATTGGAACTAAGAAAGCAATCCACTCCAGACAAACACCATGACTTATGAAAAGGCTTACAATGTTTTATTTCCTTGGATTTATACATTTTAAATATGTTAGTGTCTTGTGGGCAATCCTGAATCCTGCATGTAGGCAGCACACGTTTAGGCTTTTGAAAATTTGCCAACATGGTAAGGTTTGCCTTCCTCTTGATTTTCAGTTTCCTAGTCTCATCTTCCTTCTCTGAATGGCATGAGGTTCCTCACGGTCTGCTGCTCACTCACAGAGCAATCCTCAGTCTTATCCTATCTAATAATAGATAAACATGGTAATTAACTGTAACTTTGGTACCCTTTCCATTGGCTAATCAGCAAGATATGCAAATTAACTGCCAACAAAGATGGCGGCCGGCAGTCAGGCAGCTGAAGCGAATAGGAGGCTTGCTTTCTCCAGTGACGGAGGAAGCCAAGGTTCCCTGCCTGCCGGTGCTGGTCTCTGAGCTGCAGTCTAAGAAACATTGTTGCAATTATAGAAGGTAAATAACCCCAGAAACCTGCTTTCAGCCCTCAGAGCTGGAGCTAGCAGGACCGCAACAGTGTTACAATTATAGAACCCAAACAAACCCAGATACCTGCTTTCAGCAGCCGAGGTCTCAGAGCTGGAACCGAGCCTCAGAGCTAAAGCCGGCTCTCAGTTCCAGTGACAGCCATAGAAGGTAAATAAATACCAGGATTAAAAAAAAGAAGAAGAAAAAAAGGAGAGGTTGGGAGCTTCAGTCACCCGCCAGCCTGAAAACGGCCCTCAGCCCCTCACCCAGACTGGCCAGGCACCCCAGTGGGGACCCCTACCCTGAAGGGGGTGTGCCTAGCTGCAAACAGCCATCATCCCCTCATCCAGGCTGGCCAGGCACCCAAGCGGGACCCCCACCCTGATCTGGGACACCATTCAGGGCAAACCAGCAGGCCACCACCCATGCACCAGGCCTCTAGCCTATATAGTAAAAGGGCAATATGCAAACTGACAGCAGAAGGACTGGGAATGACTGGTCACTATGACACACACTGACCACCAGGGGGCAGACGCTCAATGCAGGAGCTGGCCCCTGGTGGTCAGGGAGCTCTCACATGGGAGGAGTTCTGCTCAGCCACAAGCCAGGCTGATGGCTGCCAGTACAGCGGTGGTGGTGGGAGCCTCTCCTGCCTCCTCAGCAGCGCTAAGGATGTCCGACTGCAGCTTAGTTCTGCTCCCCGCTGGCAACTGGGAATCCCCCGAGGGCTCCCGGGCTGCCAGAGGGATGTCTGATTGCCATCTTGGGCCCAACCCCCTGGGCAGCGGGCCTAAGCCAGCAGGTGGTCATCCCCTGAGGGGTTCCAGACTGCGAGAGGGCACAGGTTGGGTTGAGGAACCCCCCCCCCCCCCGAGTGCACACATTTTTGTGCACCGGGCCTCTAGTTTATGTATAAAGAAAACCTGGAATTTTGATGAGTTAAAGAACTTGGCCAAGGTAGTCCCCAGCCTCCCACTGGTGAGTATATCCATCTCTGACTCTTTTAATGCAGACCTTTTAAACAATATTTTTGCATTTAAATTCTGGGTCTGTTGTCCCCCTTTTTCACCACTAATACTAAGGGAGTTGATTCTGAAATCCAATTTTGCTTTTCTCATTTCAATATTCAGACATCAAATTTACTTACATAAATACATTTTATGTAAAAATATTGTTTGGATGCTCAAAAAAAGTGAATATCCACCATAAAGGTAAATTTTACTTATTACTCTTAACATTTATATCTATTAGTTTTTTTAAAGATTGACTTTATAATTTTAACAGTGAAATTTGGAATAGATAACCTCTGAAAGATACTTCTTTTACTATGTTAGGTAAATTACCACATGGCTATGGAAGAGAAATATTCTCCCAGTATCTTATGTATGACATTCTTTTTTCTTTTTATGAGACTCTTCATAATATGAAACTTTATATATATATATAATAAATAGTGGACAGTTTTAATAATTTTTCCTCCCATTTTAGAAGTTAAATTCCACACGATTTTGCTGATCATTCCTTTCTCAATTATCTTTGATCTCATTTTAGTTATCTTGTTTATATCTCTTATGGATGGCCCAATTATCTCTGCCAGAGTTTTAGCTGATGAACCATAGATTAATTTTCTAAAGCTTAAATTATAGATACATAACAATCAAAAAATAATAATTTTTAAAAGTGATTTCTAGAATACAGGATTATTAACAGTGACTAGGTGTTGGGACCTCAATATAAAGGCTAAGAATTCACTGTCATGGTCATACTAAAATTTAATGTGAGAAATCTATATTTCTGTGAGAAATAAATTAAACACTGGATGAAGGCTATAGAACAATTTTAGAAACATCTCCACCACAAGACATGCTGCAAGTAATTCCCCTTTATCCTATTCCAACAGTATTTTATGGCAAAATAGCATTGCCTTTTAATCTACTTCAGGATGCTATAAGTCACACTTTACATAATAAAAAAGCAAAAAAAATTATACAATATTAGAAAAAGTATAGAAAAACAGGAAAGCTTGTACATTCTTGGTGGGAGTATAAGTAACACAATCTTTCATGAAGAACAATTTAGTGATATGAAACAAAATGACCAATGCACATTTTCCTAAGCTCAGCCTTTCATTTTAGAAATGTAGTCTACAAGTATAACCACATAAGCAAATTGATGTGGATGCAAAGTTGTTTCCCACAGGGTTATATATAATAGGACACAATTTCAAATAGGTTAAAATGTCTATCAATAGGGGGTCTAAGTTATTTCATTAAGGAAAAGTCCAGAAAATAAAATATTATACAATTATTAAAAGAACAAGAATCAGAAAGGAAGAAGGGAAAGGAGAGGGAGGAGATGAGAGAAAGAGAGAGAATGAGAGAGTGAGAGATATGTTGGCATAAGATTTTAAGAATTGCTGCTTGTCAAGTTTTGGTGTGGAATCAAGTAATTGATTCCACAATTATCTGGAAATAATGTGGAAAGAGCACTAAGACTTTAGCAACAAAACAGTGTGTATTTCATACTTCTTTTCATACTACTGTACAGGGCAAACAATGCATTGATAATGATGTTATCTATAATAGCAAAAGTAATGATAAAGTATCTAGAAATTAACCTAATAAATAATTCTTATGGTCTTATGAGAACATTTTTAACTAAAAGACAAAACAGAAGACAGCATAATGAATAAGACAGCATAATAAGTTGGTTCCCTCAATTTTATTTGTAAATTCTGTGCAGTTTTTATCAACATCAAGAGGATATACTATTCTGTCATGATAAATTTATTCTGAAATATATTGTTTTTATTTTAAATTATACATTGAAAAATAAACCTTCACTAATAAATAGCTAAAGGAATAATGGAAAGGTACAATGGAAGGAATTTTGCCATATATTAAAACTATGAGACGATTTAGATGTAAAATGTGGTACTAGCATAAACAGATAAATATCCATGTGGAATTGGAAGGGAGATCCAGAAAGAGGCTATATATTAATATATATCCATACTTGAGGCAGCATTATATTTCAATGAGGAGAGGGTAGATTATTTAGTAAATGGTGTTAGGAAAACTGATTGTCTACACTGAGAGAAATTAATGTGGATTGGAATGTATTAAAAGCCAAATGTGAAAAGTAACACTATCCATTTAATAGAAAAAAAAGTAGAAGCATATTTTTGTGACCTCAGAGTTGAAGAAGCTGTTATTCTAAGAAGATGAGA